ATATATATATATATATATATATATATATATATATATTAGTATTAAATAAATATTATTATATTTATCTTCAATACAACCTATAAAATAAATACTCAAAATTTTGTACTCTTTGATTAATTTAAAATTTTGAATTATGAGTACTGAAAGTTGGTGTGCACATGCATTTTGTTGCATGGAAATCTAGACTTGTTAATTATATATATATATTTTTTGTAACAAATTCGAGAGAAAAACGGCTTATACTTTATTTGTGAATAATATAATAGGATTGGATAGTTCATGTGAAGACTGAAAAAAAGCATGATATTGAGCAAAAGTTAGATCCTATGACGAGCTCCTAATTTTCTACGGATAAAGTAAATAATTACGAATTTAAGTTGGTTAAAAATATAAAATAAGTAAATTTATAAATGAGTGGGTTGCTAAAACTGTCAAATAATTAAGTTGTGTTGAATGTTAGATGAATAAAATAGATTGCTTTTATAATTGAGTTAGTCATTAATCCGTCTAAAAGATTTTATAATGGTCATAACCCGGCCAACTTGTCAATCCATACTAAATTTTAGTTACTAGTTTTCTATTTTTCTTTCTAATTTATCTAATTACCAAAATAGATGAATGTATCTTTTTATTTATTTATAAGAAAAATTGTATATAATGGCAAATTAATAAATTAAATTAATTGCTATAATTATCCTTTGATTTAATTGTGTGCCGTAGCAAATTGTTTGTCAGTCATCTCTCTCCCTCAAACTCTCACTCGCCACTCTCCTCTCTCGCTCCCTTCCTTACTTTTATACAAACACGAGTGTACAAAATATGTTTCTATTTGTATAGAGCGAGAGGAAATTGTATAAATACATATATTTTTGTTCCACTGTCTCCCCTCTCCCAGATCTCGCTCGCCACTCTCCCTGATCTCGCTCGCCACCCTCGCCTCTATTGCTTATACAAACAGAAACTAAATGTATAAATTGCGATTTTGTTTGTATAAAGCGAGAGAAAATTGTATATACACATGCAAATAAATATATTTTCATCTTATGCGCTTATAATTATACATAAAAATGCTCCCCTGCCTAATTTCTTTTGCCTTTCTCTCTTTCTCGTTTTATACAAATTCAAATTCTATGTAATTTCTCTCTTTCTCGTTTTATACAATTCGATTCAATTGTATATTCCTTGCCCAAGTCTCTTTTGTCTTTCTTACTTTCTCATTTTATACAAATTCAAATTGTATATAATCGTTCTATGCACTTATAATTATACACTTCGTTTTATACAATTCTCTGTCCAAGTCTCTTTCTATTTTTCGTTTTATACAGTTCGCTTCAATTGTATATGTATAGCGAATTATACATTTTATATATGTTTGTTATAGAATGCAATTATGCAAACTTTGATGTAACATACAAATATGAATTTTTTGTTTGTTACATGAAAGTTACCCTTAGTTATCAAACAAAAATATATTTTTTAAAGAAGTATAAACAAAATTTCTCGTGAAGCATCTATGCCATATATTTAAATCAAATCAACTCAACTTTTTAGATTACTTAAACCGGTCGAACAAAGGAGTCAAAATAAATTTAGGTAAGTTGGACTTCTCTCTATTTCTCTATTTTAATGTATTTAATAGTAAAATAAATATATTTAAGTGTATCTTTATTAATATACAACAAATTTTTTTAATAATAATACAATATATATGATAATGGAGGGGAGGGAAGTCGAATATGTGGTAAAATGTGTTTAAATAATCTAATCACGTAGTTCTCCCTTCTTTTACTCTTGTTTATTTGTAAAAATATAAAAGGTCGTAAGATGGGCGCTGATTGCAGAGTATATGGGCTAAAATATTTTGGGCACTAATTAGAAAGGTAGATTTTAACTATAGCTATAGTTCTATACGGGGGAAAGTTTCATATATGGCAAACAGATTTTATGAAATTACATTTTATGGGTATAGTTTATATAATTATATTTTATGGGTATAATTTAGTTTGTTATGTGACTTTAAATTCGTCTAAAATGGTTTTTTAAATTAAATTTATACAAAAAAAATTATTTTTCAATAAATGGTAACAATAGCACAAAAGAAGGTAACAATAAATTCACATAATTCCATTATTTAAGCAAAACATTCAAAATCAAATATTTTCCCAAAAAAAGAATTCTAAAGTTATAGAAAGACAATACTAGTTCAAAATCAAATATTTTCCCAATTTTTTTTAGATAAATCTATGAAACACTCAGGCATATATATATATATATATATATATATATATATA